ATGCATATGTGCTTTGGTCCAGTGATTCCATTTATAAAAATTTATCCTACAAATTTCATCCCACATGGGATGATATTCAAGGTTATTCTTGCAGCATTGTAATAGTGAAAGGCTAAGATCAGCATACACACCCATAAACACACACACACACACACACAGGCATATAAAGTCATCAGTAGGGGACAAATTAAATTATAGCACATCAGGTAATGAAGAACTTTGTCACTGTACACATGTAGGTCTATCTTCAAGATATTATTAAGGGAAATAAAGTACAAAAGTGTATTCTATTATGCCACTTCTGTTAATATATACACATACATTTTACACACTAGAATTTTTTTGAAAGAATACAGAGATACACAGGAAACTGGTAACAGTGGCTGTCAATACATACAGGAAGTAGATGGCTAGTGATAGGGACAGGAGACAGATTTTTCAATGAACAATCTAAATGCATTTTGCCTTTTGAGTCATGTAAATGCTTTATTTAAAATTAACAAACAAACCACAGTGTTTATAAATAATTTCCTCAATGCCAAATTCAAAAATTCCCATATCTTCAAAGTTGGAAGTGACCTGGACCTGCCTCATGTGCTGAGAAGTTCTGTGGATGACCTGTGGTTCAGTGGCGAGGAAGGAGATACTGAGCTTCAAGGCTTTTTCTTTTCCTTATGCATCATGAAGTGAGGTTACTTGCTGAGAGTAAGGAAAAGTGGTACAAATATGGGAAGAGGAGACGATAAAATAGGAAATTGCTGAGGTATACTGAAGAGTCGACTGAAGTTGGAAACCATAAATTTGCAAAGGTGCTATTTGGTTCGGGATTTTCTTTGGGAATGATCAGAAGCCAGGGAGTTGGGGTTTAGACAATAGGTCAGAGTGTGGGAAATGAAATGCTTTGAACTGGAAAGATGATATAAAAGTGGCTATACCTGGCCCTTGAGAAGTTTCCAGGACTTCATTATGTTTGCTGCAATTCCAGAGTCTGAATCTTTGGAGGTCCAGCTACTTGGTTTAATAATTTTCCTCAGAGGTGATCAGGCCTGGGGGAGTGATGCATTAATCAAACTCGCAAGAGACAGGTTGATAAAACAGAACCTCCATTGTACACATTTAAAATGAAAATATTAACTAACTGCTCCCACAGGGCAACACCTCCTTTTGCCTATAAGAAAGTCTTCATTGGAAATGACCATTAATATCAGCTAACTGTTCAGTGATCGCAGAAAGACCAAAGACATCAAGCTGTGATAATCTAATCTACTCAGGGAACACAACTCTCAAGGTGACCACAGTAATGCAGGCACAATGACAAATTATTTTTCTAGAATTTGTCAGTTACAAAAACATAAAATTGGTTGTAGTTTTCTCTGTAACATGTTAGTCCACCCTTACAATACGTTCGTGTCTTCCCATCCCCTCCCCAGATTGCCACCCTTTCTAGAGTTACCAGTGTTAACAGCCTCGTATGCATTCTTCCACATAAAAATACACACATATAAACTACATGTATAAACTACATGTAAAACACCTATAGGGTTTTGTTTATTTACCAAAATGGGACCATACTAGACAGAGTATTCTGTGACCCTCACTTAGCAATACATCATGGGTATTCTTCTTGTAATTCTAATAACTAAAAATATTTTTAATATTTTAAGAAACAAAAATAGAACTATTTTGTTGGCCCAAAGTATTATATAATTTGAATATACTATATTTCAAGCACTTGATAGGCCTTTATTAATAGGTCTTTAGGTTGTTTACAGTTTTTGCCACTACAAGCAAAAGTGTAATAAACATACCTGTACTTACATGCGTAAGTACTAAAGTCTCTTGCAGGAAAAGTCAGGTTTGGGGATCAAAGTGTCCTGAATATTTTTAATTTTGCTAAACACAATCAAATTACTTTTCCCAAATATTGAGACAACTCAGAGTCATGTCATCAAGGAGTGCGTTTCCCTACATTGTCCCTAACACTGCATGCTCCTGTTCTTTATTTTTGCCAGTATGATACACAGAAAATAGTATTTCATGTTTGTTTTAATGTACATTTATTTGATTAGTGAGGTTGAACATTTTTATGCTTATTGTGCATTTGAATTTCTTAACCTAAGAGGCAGCATGAAACATTGTTTAAGTATATAAATTCTGGAGCTAGTTTTGCCGTTTGTACTAAGTGATCTTTAAGTTATTTAGCCTCTGTGCCTCAGTTTACCCATTTGTGAAATGGGGACAATAATAGCATTTACTCATGAGATTGTTCTGATTTGATGTTTATTACATGAAAAAGCTGTAGAAGAGTACTTATAGTTTTTGCCTATTTTTCTATGGGGTTGTCTTTTTCTTATCAATTAATGGGAGTTCTTTTTATATTAGGAAATTAGCTTTTTACTATTTTATTTGTTATATATGCATATAGTTCCTCCAGTTTGCTTTTTGCTTTATAATTTTTATTGAAAAATTCATGTACTTAAATGACTTTTTTTATAGTTTATATCCCACATTGCTTAGGAAGCATTTTCTTATTCGAGGTCATACAACTTTTCTCCTAAATTTTTTTAATACATGTTTTATTTTTTATATTTATATCTGGAATTTTTTCATATATGATATAATGCAGGGGACCATCTCTAAAGTCCCTTTATTCCTTGGACATTCAACTGTGTCAACACTGTCTCCCCAAGGAACAGAAATGCTTCTTGGTATATATCATGTTCTTTACTGAGATCTGTTTCTATACTCTATTTTATATAGAGCCGAAACCACACTCTTGTTTATAATTGTTTTATAGTGAGTTTTAACATTTGGTAAAGCAAATCCTACTTTTATTTTTTTTCAGTTTCATAATCTTATTCTCTCACATATGAACTTAAAAAAAAAACTCCAATATTACTCACCCAAAGCAGGGGGAGGGTAAAACCAACCACACTGGAATTATAATTATAATTGCTTTATTAATTTTGGATGCAGTGATATTTTTCTGATATTAATTCCTTCTTTCCAGGAACAAGGACTCTTTTTTTGTATAGGTTTTGATCTATAATTTTGTCCTTCTAGATCCTGTGCCTTCCATCCGAGATTTTTTTTTAACTTTTGGTCATTGTTGTCAATGTATTTTTTCCATCTCCATTCTAACTACACATTTCCTAGACAGAGAAAAGTTATAGATTAAGTTCTTTACTATTATTCGGCCATTAAATTCTCCAGTTAATTTTAGTAGCTTATTCTTTTTTTGTATTTTTCTAGGAGTATCACCTATCTCCAAAAACACCAAGGTAAGTTTTCTTGATATTTACACTAGGAAGCTCTTCTTTAGCTGTATGACTGTGTTATGCTGCTTGCGGCACGGCTGTCCTCTGTAGCTGTTCTCCCGCCGCACTCAACTGCCGTTACTGCCCGTGGCTGTTCTATTGTGGCCTACAATGAATGAGGCAGATGCTTTTTATGAAAATATGCCACGATTGCTTTGTTCAGGTGTCCAGGATAACAACACAATACAGTGTGGTTCCTGGTCTCTTAAATTCAAAGTCAACTATACTCATTTCTTGAGCTCACTGTTTTAATCATACTAGTCAAGTTCCCTTTTGGTCTCTTGCAACAGGAGACAGGGAGTCCTGTCTGGGCAGGTTTTTACTCTGTTATTACCCTTATACTTTGAAAGATATACTCAGAGAGGACTTCCCTGATCACCCTGTTTAATGAGCTAGTCTCTATCACTACCTCATTATCCAGTTTTATTTTCTTTATAACACCAATCATACTCGCAGGTAAATTATTTATTATTTGTCTCCCCCAAGATATACTAAACTATGAACCCAATGAGATCAGAGAATTTCCGTGTTTTACCCGTATCTCTTCAGTGTCTAGAATTGAAAAGTAGGCCTTCAATGTTTGTTGAATCAATGAATGTTGAGTTTTTTGGGAAATAATCATATCATATTTAAGTAATTTATGTATTTCAACTGTTCTTAGTGCTATTAGGAATGGTTGCTGGACAACTTTTCATTTTAAGGGACAGATTATTTGAAGTAAATCGGTTTCTGAAACAACATAAATTCAGAAAGAGTTGAGGGACTATAACATTAAGGGAAGTAACCCTCCAGGCAGGAACAGAAATTTATCCTTCTACCTCAATGCTCAAAACCTGCATTTGCTACAGATGAACTACGATATATTTTTGTCTACTTTTCATTTAAGTTTTATCTGAGTTTCATTTCAAATGCTGTTTGAATGAGATGAGATATTTGCCACTTCTTTATTTTTTATCTTACCGGGACCATGTGGGAACTGAAGGGAAAAAGTTGCAGATCACCCAAACATTGGGCATTCAAAGCAGGCTTCACCCTACCTACTACCTGTTATTTTGTTTTAGAGGGCCTACCTGTCAAATAAAATTTGATCCTAGCGCTGTGATTTCGAAAGTTTTTTTTATTCCACTGTCCTATTTACAGCCTTCAATTTATTAAATCTGTCACGTGTCTGGTGCGACTCTTAAAATTGATCTGAAAACCACTGAGGGAATTGTTTATGGTTACCTCCAAAGTCACGTTCAGTGGTTTAAGGTGAGCCGGTGGATAGGTTGGCATAGAGCTGGCGGAGGCAGTTTGTTTCCATAGCCGGCAAACGTCCCATATCTTGCCATTTAACTTTCATCCCGCAATTCCAAAGGGCGCTAAGCCAATTCCGTTGTTCTTCCCACCGCTCCAGACCCAGGAAGACACAGAAAGACAGGAAGCGCCCGCCTCCGCACTCCTGGGTACCGCTACACCTTGTCCGCATTCTCACAGCGACGCGCTCGCCCGGTGCATTGTGGGCGCTGTAGTCTGGCCGGAACCTGCTCGTGACTACAAGTCCCGTGACCCCTCTACCCCACCTCCGCCTAGTCTGCTGTGCTCCGCGGCCTCAGCTGAGCCTCCTGGACCCTGGGTGCGGCATTCCGGCAAGTCAGCTGTCTCTTCCCTGGGCACGCCAGACGGAAGCCGGAGGGGCGGGGGGAGGAGCTTCGCGAGGGGGGGTGAACGCTTTCCCTACGTGCTCGTTCGCTCTGCGACCGCTGCGCGCCAGCCTGGTGTCCCCGCGGCGGCCAGCAGCGGCAGCGGCGTCGGTGGAACGCGGCGGGGGCGGAGGGAGCCCACGGCGGCGGCGGCTGCAACTGCGAAATGGCGGAAACAGTGGCAGACACCCGGCGGCTGATCACCAAACCGCAGAACCTGAACGACGCCTACGGGCCGCCCAGCAACTTCCTTGAGATCGATGTGAGCAACCCTCAGACTGTGGGTGTCGGCCGGGGTCGCTTCACCACCTATGAAATCAGAGTCAAGGTGAGGCCGTCTTTTCCCCCCCTCAACAGTGAGACCCTTCCCGCAGTCCCAGGTTGCCCCCAGCCGACCCAGAAGTGAATCCCCTCAGGCAGCTAAAGCAGCTCAGGCCAGGATCGCCCGGCTGACTCTGTAGGGCAGCCGTATCCGCGGGCGGGGTCGTGGGCCAGGGTCCTTTTTCGTCTAGGGCTTGGATGGGGGCTACAGACTGAGCCGAGGCCAGCGCTGGCACGTTGAGAAGGTGCTCGAAGAACAGGGCGTGGGTTGGGCACTGCTTGCCCCTCAGCCAGCTGATCCGGGAATGACATTTGAGTTGGATAGGGGTAGATCTTTCGAGAACACCGAACACAGCCCTTCAGGAAGGGAGGTAGATGTGACTTGAGATAGAGGGTTTGCGCAAAGTTGGAGCCTTCCCAGGTTCTTTTCCTGAACATTTCTCATAGAGGTGGCTGAGCCAAGCTGGTTGCTTCTGGCTTTCCCAAGCCACCAGACTAACTTCGTTTGTACACTTTTCTGAACAGAACCTAATGGAAGTTCACAAAAGCCTGACAAATTTGGTAGGGCTGAACCAGCTGAGACGGTGATTGGAAATGACTGACCTTGGCGTTCTGGGCCGCCGGTGTCTGAGGTGGCGGAGGCGGGGGGCCGCGGGGGGGGGGGGTGCCTACCTCACAATCCAAAACTATAGCGCTTCGACAAAAGCGTATTCAGTTAGGGATCTTGCTCTGTTAATTTCGAGATTTGCACTTCACTGAATGAATGAATCAGCTGAAGGAGAAACACACTTGTAATTTTATCGCCAGTGTTTGTTGGCAATAAGGAATTCAGATGATTTGAAAGATGCTAATTGAGAATAGTGCTTCACTTTCACTGTAGTTCATGCTCATGTGTGGAAAAATCTTTAAAAATTAATTATATAAAATGAATCCAGCTGCAAAAGATGACAACAAATTATTAAAAATTAAGCATAAGAATTTAGCTTTAGAGTAACCAAAATTTACATAACAAATTACTATTAACATTTAAGTGGAATAATTTCTTCAACTCAACGCACTTTGTGGTAAAAAAAACATGAAATTTTCTATCTTAACCATTTTTAAATGTACAGTTTAGTAGTGTTAAGTGTATTCATATTGTGAAACATACACTTTTTAAAAATGATTTATTTATGTGCTGTTGCTAAAAAAAATCATCGAACTTTAATGATGCAAGCCACCGATACCTCCCTACACAGATGTGTAAAATGTGACTCGTAAGCAGTCTTGTTATAGTGAAACTGCAAATCCAGGCTCCGGTGTGCCTAGGGAAGTACATTACCACCTAAACCTAGTGGAAAATTGAGCCTTTATAAAAACTTTTGCAATGACATTGGATTGTCTTAAATATATGGCATATTGGTCATTAAAAAGAACTTCCCCTTTTACCCTTACTTACCTTCCTTCCTTTCTTCTGCTGAAACAGAGCTTGGTATTCCTGTTTCTAAATTTCCATAGCTAGTACTTCCTGTCACACAACTGAACTGGAATCTCCTGCCTACACTTCCTCCATTTAATAACTTTGTGTTTATCTTGCTGAGTGCATTATATTAAAAACACTCTAATCTGATAATTATTTTAAAAATATATCTGACACTCATTACCAAATAGCTGATGTGATACTTAAAGTTGTTGATACTTAATTGATACTTAAGTTGTGTTTATGGTGTGATCATTTGCATTTTAAAGGACACAATCCCTTTTAAGTTACAAAGTATTACATACGTTGGTTTGTATTATACAGAACAGTTTGTTGTGTGTTAATGACTGTTAACAATCATAAATGCAGTTGCCCTATAAGAAAATGTAATTGCGTTTCTAATGCTTATAAAATGCCATTGTGGTTTCTCTTAATATGTAATGTGTTAACTTAAAACTCAGGACACCATTTAGTAAGATATTAGGTCTTATTCTAAGCAACATATGGTTTTTGAGAATAACTAATCTTACATTAAGGCAAAATGACCAGTGAAATGAATAGGTAAATCATTTTGTAATAGTTTTTATTATTTTCTAACCTGTTGCTCATCTCCCAGACCCTACTGCCCGCCTTTTGCTATTGAATTTGCCATGTGGCAAGCCATTTTACTTCCCAGAGTTTGAGCCCTTAAACTGTCTTATAGCTACTCTTTAATTCTGGTCTTGAGAAAAATGTTCAATTTTACAGGATCTGATTGAAATTACTCTAATTCACAGAGCAATTTTATCTGGATGGTGGCACTTTAGAATGCAAGTTTCCCAATCTCCATTTATCTTTTGGTATGAGGATAGTATTTAAGACTATTAGGGTCGCTTGATTATTATCTTTGGGCTTTTGAAAATAATTGGTAGTGTTAATGTTTTTTAAAATTGTTCTAATAGGTGGGTACAGCAGGGAATACCATAAATGATTAAAGCTTTAGGAAAGCTCAGGGTATAGAATTATTTTGGCATATTAAAGAGAAGTCTAAAGGGGAAATTCAGTCACCATTTATGAAGTTTGGGCTATAATGTAACTTTAAATTTCTGGAGTTTTTATTTTAGATCTGTTGTACCAAGAGACAACTGTTTTGAACATAAGTGAAGTTAAGGATCTTTCTTGAGCTCTAACTTGAAAGACTAAGTTTATTATTTATTAGCAGAGTAAAGTACAAAATCTAAATTCTACTTTCCAGTGATAGAATAGATATGCGAATAATAGTGCCTACTTCATAGGACTAGGTGAGATAATGCACACAAATCTCTTTAGCACAGTGATTAGTACATAACAAGCACTCAAAAGTTACCTCTTTCTCTTTTTTCCTTTTTTAAACATTTTTATTGAATTTATGGGGGTGACATTGGTTAATAAAATTATACCGGTTTCAAGCATACAACTCTATAATATATCATCTGTATATTGCATTGATTGTTCACCCACCAAAGTCAAGTCTCCTAAAGGGTACCTCTTTCGAAATACACGTATCTTCTAAGTTAAAAGTCAGTAAACAGCTACATTTGCTGTGTTGAGAAGCAGGTGAGTTACTAAAATTGTTAGATTATCCCATCAAGAAACCTAGTTGGCATGAAAGTATATTTACACTGAGCTATATAAGGGGGGACCTAAAAAAAAAACAAAACCCCTAGAATTATCTTCTGGAAGGTGGGCCTCATGTATAGTACAGGCTTCTCACACTAGGTGAGTGTTCTAGGAACCAATCTGTAGCAGGGTACCAGCTGGCGTTGTTGTGAGAGGCTCCATTCAGCCTCTGTGAATTTCTTCTGACCATTCTTTCAATGCATTTGCCCATTTCACAATGGGTGATTTAGGAGCACACCTGCCTACACCATTCAGCATGTGGAGCAGTGTTTGGCCAAAAAAACAGCATGACCCCAGCGCCCCACCCTCCCTATTCACCCAATCTCACCCTGAGCAACGTTTTTTTGTTTGTTCCCCCACGTGAAAAAAAGTCCTCCAAGGGAAATGTGGAAGAGGTGAAATTAAAAAAAACAAAACAAAACAAAACAGTAGCATCACTTAAAAAAGCAGCAAAATGAATGAGTTTAAAAATTGAGCCGTGGAAAAAACGTCTCGATAGGTGTATTCCATAAAATGGAGAGTACTTTGCAGGTAACTGAAGTGTAAACATGTAAGAATAAATAACAGTTTTTTATAAATAAATTCTGGGGTATTTTTTGGGTTCCCCCCTCATATGTGGTACTTTAAAAAAGCCATCTTGTTTAGTACTTAATCAAGTAGGCTTTTTTCTTTAATGTTTTACATTCTTATACTTTGATTCCATGTGGAAAGTTGTGATGCCATTCAGAATGTGGTAAATGTCACATTTAAGATAGAAAATGTTAAATAGAATATTCCATATTTTAAGGTGATGGTTCCTATGATTTTACCATATGAGTATTTTTTCCAGGTTTATTGAGATATAATTAACATGTAACATTGTATCTGTTCAGGGTGTACAATATAATGACATATAGCAATGTACATATAGCAATGACTTGCTATATGGTATATTGTGAAATGATCACCGCAGTAAGTGTAGTTAATATTTATCACCTCACATAGTTACACAAGTAGCCCTTTGAAGTTGAGGTGTATTTAAAAATGAAGCTGAGTAAAGTTTGCTAATAAAATTATGACAAGAAAGATGGTTAGTAAAAGTAACATCTTGATGGTGTTTGTCTTTCTAAATCTCTGTTGGTGATTTTTCTCTGAGTAAATCCTCTAATTTTTAATTGGAAGCCATTAATATCCAGATTGGGAGCTGAGGAATAAGTTTATTTTTAGACTTGTTTTTAGGATTTATAAACATGTATTTATTAGAGAGCCAAAATAATATTTTGAAGAATCACTCATTTTAGTGCCAAAGGACATCCGCACAATAAATGTAGCTTTATCAATTGACCATGAGATGTTGTCTGATACATATCTTTGCTGCCAGCTATGGCTGACTTCCAGGATCTCTGTCAAGGACATGCATATGGCTAACTTTGAAGATTCTTACCTAAACCACTCCTTAAGATGTGGGGAAGGGGCAGTGGCAATTAAAAGGTAGCGCTGTTATACTTGAGTTATTAGGGACTCTCTTCCACCTTGTTCATTTTAACAGATTAGGGAACCAAGGCACAGAGGTTGTCTCTCACCCTAAATAAGTTTGATTGTCTGTAGCTTCCTTTGGTTCCTGTATCTTCCACTATAAACTCCTAGAGGACAGGGACTGTCATAACTACCCTTACCTAACACCTGGCTCTGTGTTTGGCACATAGTGATACTTAGGAATGCATGAAACTTAGGAAGGTTAAGTAACTTGTCCAAAGTCTCCGCTATTAAGTGGGCAAAACTGGGATTTGAATCTAGATTTCCTGACCTTCAGAGCCTGTATTTTTACTTTTGTTCTCACTGATCATTCAGAGCACCTGGGGAGCTTTTGAATTCATGGAGATTCTCTCTCTCTCTCTTTTTCTTTTTTTTTGGAGATTTCTCTTTTAATT